TGATATTTTTGTAGCATTATGTAGCATTACAGTTAATTACAAATACTATTAAGCCTAATAATTTCATTTTTTTATCAAATAATCTTTAAAAAATAATTTGTGCTAATTATATTCTGAAGTAAATTACAAATTAAATAGCAGAATCAACTTTTATGAACAAAAGTGCTTAAACATAATAGATAACACACCAAATAATACAAGGACTTTAACCAATACTCTAAACAAGTTTCACTAGCTTTCTCCCATTTAGGACATGAGGAATGAAGAAATAGATGTTATAGGTCAATCACATGAATAAAGTAATTTTGACAATATTAGTCATGAGTGAGCTTTACTGATTTCATAAATAAATTTCATTATAAAGGCATAATCAGGCATTCCTGACTTATTGAGAATCATACAGATATTATCATTATGACACATTAATCATGAAGATAAGCAAATCCAAATAATTGTCCTGTTCATTTCACAGGCCATCAAAAATACAACTTTGCTTCCTAGATTCTCTTACAACTTGTGAATCACATTTTTGAATGCTGATACATTTTAATCATAGTACTGCTGAAAAGTAATAAATCTTTAAGCTTACTAAATTGTCTCATAAGCATCTCACCTAGCATTTACTAAGGATAGTTCTTTCCCTAAAGGTGAATTTCAAAGTGTTTATTATTCAGATTACAGATGTTACTCCTGTGCCTAGGCTAGATTATCCACTCAATTCTTCGCTCCTACCTACAGGTTAAAGATGTGACTTACCATCTGTTTTCCATTTGTCCTGATAAAATTATACATAGCTCTTTCTTTCATTCTCATTGTTTGGATGATAAATTTTATGGTCACACTAGTTATTAAGAAGTAAAATTAGGGAAAAAAGTTAAGACTCTCCAAACAAGCAAAAATATATTGATTCCTTAGCAGCACTGCAGGGATAGCATAAATATGCCACAGCATAGGTTCTATAAGCCTTAAGAATAAAATTATGGAACTTATTATTTAACTAACCATCTAAAGGAGTCCAATTTTTTTTTAAAGACAGTTTATAGATAATAGCCTGATTTTTCTAAGACTCTCCTTAGTAGAAGGCCAAAGTTGTTCACCATGGTTGTTTAACCTAGACTCTTAAGGAGAACTCCTTGGATTTCAATTCCCAGTCCAAATACTTCATCTCTCAAGCTTGTTTCCTCATGTATAACAAAGTATGTAATAGTTTCTATAGCATAAGATGATGTGGAAATTAAATGAGATAAAACATTTCAAAGTATTTAGCATAGTACCTGTCACATGCTAAGCACTCAACAAATGTGAGTCATTACTATTTAACAATATGATATACCATCAATAAAGAAATCAGTTGATAAGCTGCACATGTAACTGACCTTCCAGATATACTGCAAATACATTCCTAAATATCATGTGAAAGAAATATACATAGGGTTCCAGTTTTCTTTATATCTCTGCTAGAGAAGATAAATTCAGTTAATTAATCAAAATCAAAGTAGATAACATACATATGTATAATTTAAGATTCCAAAATAATTGTCATTCATCTATTTTTCATTCATTCAATAAATATTAATTCAGAGAAAGCTATAATAGGTCAGTGTGCCTTTTAATTAATACTAGAACACACACTTTTGAACTTGCTCCCACCTAAAAATCTTAATAAGAAGTACCTAATTCATTGCAAAACTTGTTCCATTAGAGAAGATTCAGTTTCTATAAAGAAGTAGATTCAGTAAGTAATTTTGAATAAATCTGCTTAAATGCCTCACAGATGAAAACCCAGGAAGTATGTGAGAAGAACTGACATTTTTTTTGATGTATTTGATTATCAAATACAAACTTACAGAGACCAAAGTAAAGACAAACTTACAGGGACCAAAACTAAACAATGAAAGTTTTCTAAAAAATATATTTAAGATAAATTTTTGAATTGGATTCTGAGATATTCTAAGGTACTATGAGGTATTGGCAGGGAAGAGGAATAAGAAAGTTAGTGGAGTGGACACTAATATCTACAGTGCCATGCAGAGAACTACAATTGCTAAAATTCTTTATATATATATAAAGTCAATACATTACCTTAATGAAATAAAGGATAAAAATAAAGTTAACATTTGCACTACCCATAAAAAATAAGGACAATGGGAATTTAGATAAGTTGAAAGCTTGTATAATACCCTGTATAACAGTTTAGGAATCAGAACTCTCTTTGCTCATTGTTACACATTATTAAAATTTGACAGAAGTTTTTATTATATTGCTACTGTTTTTTAAAGAAGTGGAAGTAAACACTGAAGTTATAAAGGATTGGTTTATCTTTGTTAAAATATTTTGTTTCACTTCTGATGTCACAATTTAGATTGTTCTTCTAAAAATAAGTATAAATTTATAAAATTTTATTTTTACCTATACATTTATCCATTCACTACACACTTCATGACATCTACAATGTATCTTCTCTGTGGTATGTACAGGACAAGCAAATAAAATCAGAATCCAAGAAGGAGACATATAAAAGCATATGTATAATACAGGTAAATAAGCACAAAATATAGGGAGTTATTTGAGCACATATGATGGTACATAGTCAACTGGGAATGAGGGATCTGCCAGGAAGTAACATCAGATTCAAGTCTTGAAGGCTAAACTTGAGTTCATCAAAGGGGAGGAGCACAAGGGGCAGCATTCTGGATAGACTCTCTCTTTGTCAAGGCTAAATCAAGACAGTGGAGAAAAACTGCAGCATTAAGATATGGCAAAGGGGAGCCTATAGAGGCCTGTCATGGGAACTGGGACATTATGCTCCACAGTGAGAGTTGTGTTTTAGAAATACGGCCTGGCAGCAATGCTAAAGGGGCATCTCAGGTGGTTCAGTAGTAAAGAACCTGCCTGCCAATGCAGGAGATGTGGGTTTGATCCCTGAGGTGGAAAGATCCTCTGGAGAAGGAAATGGCAACCCACTCCAGTATTCTTTCCTGGAAAATCCCATGGACATAGGAGCCTGGTAGGCTACAGTCCATGGCGTTGTGAAGAGTTGGACACGACCGAGCAACTAAGTGCACACACACACAAAGCAATGCACAAAGTGGATTAACAGTAGATGAGGCAGAGGTAGGAAAATCAAGACCTTAGTTGTTGTAGCTGGTGAGCACGGGGGTAGGGGAGGCAATGAGTGCATTGATGAGGCCAAAGGCACAGAGATTCATGACTAATAAATACCGGTTAATAGAGGAGAAGAAAATGGCACAGTGAACTTTAGGTTTCGGCCTGGGTAACTAGATGCTAAGAAAAAAAAAAAGACTACAAAGTGAAGATTTATATTAAAGCATAAACTCAATATGAAAATACCTGGGAATTTTAAGACATCATTAAATCTACTTAATATGCAGCAAAACTCTGTTAGCTGGAAAGATGAATAGAATTTCCCACGGTGTCTAATATATAAACATGGCGTAATTTTCCGACTTCAGCTTTTCTGCTTGCTTAGTCAATTTACAATTGGTCATTTTTAGTTAATCCATTCATTTCCATGAGGTTACTTAATGGAAGCATTCCATTTTTTAACCTAACAGTGGTGAAATAATTTTCTGGAGGTTCCCCAGAGAGACTCTGAAAAGTCAAAATTCAACTTTAATTTCCTGAGTATCTTTTCTGCTTAAAGTTACTGGACTTAATTTTCTTTTCTAGGAAAAATAGCAAACACTGACATTTAAAATTTCAATTTACTACATAAATATTTCAGATTATTTTACACTGGAACAGCAATTTTTCTGCCTGAGAATCATTTTAGTCTAAATAATGGTGGCAAAATAGAAGAATACATACTGCACGTGAGCTACAGATTGTATATGGATTTGTATATACCTAGTCACAAATGCATTTGAATTGGATTTAGTCAAAAAGCGGGTCTGACTAATTTTTCATTGAATTCAAATTGTTCAGATTAAGTGAACTGCTTGGTTGCCATCATAGAGATACCACCCAAGATCATTTTGTCAAATTAATAATTAAACCAAAACAAATGCCTGGCTTGTGTCTCTGAGACAAGAATATGATGAAACCTGTCATTACTTAAATGATGTAGTCTATTCAATAAAACTTTTGTGGACAGTTCACATGTTTCATGCAAAATAGCGCTGCAACAAACAGAAAACCTTCCAAGTCACACTTCATGTGTATTATTCATACTAGTAATATTTTAACATTAGTTAAGATGCATATAAAGCATAATTTTTCACTATCTCAATTTTATTATAATTTTTTCACCCAGAATATCATACAAATTTCTATAAAGCATTTTTTTTCAAATAATTGAACTTCTCTTTTTCAAGCATTAATCCCCTAGGTCACCAAGACTGTGGGTTCTTCACCACCATCCCAAACCGTCCCTCTTTGCCTGTAATTGTTCTGATACCTGCTGCACTGTGAGCTGGGGGACAGTGGACTCATAAGCACCAAGGATCCCCCAGCAGGCTTCACATATTGTCTTCAACCTAACCTAGTATCCTGCTGCATGATACCAATATTCCATTCAAAGCCACTGACAACTTTTCATGTCTATTCAGATTTCATTCGACTTGGTTACAATGAGTTTTATAAAATAGTTTAGTTATACACACAATAGAAAGCCTAAGGCACTGACAACAACATAGAACAACTTTAATACTTCTTGATTTCAGACAAAGGCATTAGTATTATAAACCACTAATGATGCTTTTTGAGATATTTAGCCAGCCATGGATACCACCATGAAACACAGAAGCATGCCTATAGCAGTGAGACATCATGTCTATGCGAACCTTAATCCTACATCAACAACAGCTGTAACTGAAGAAATCCAAAACCCACAGCTTAAAATAAAAAATGCTCTCTAGGAGGTCTAAGAATCACTTTAGCTTAATGTGGGGAAACAGTGGAGATGAGGGGAATGAGACTGAGAAATTTGCTTCTGTGGTGATGGAGAATCGGGGCAAGTGTACGGGTTTATTTCTTTGCCTTCAACCAATGTTTTCATAGGAAAAGTATGTTTTCCTTGTGGTGACTGCACAGTAACCACCATTAACAAGGGTAGAAAGTGCTAATTCCCCCTTGATGACACTTCTTTTCAATATGACTGAAGAATGAACTTTACATGAAATTATTACAAACACTTCTACACCTAGTAAACATGATTGGGGAAAAAACCTTTTTAAGACAAATGGCAAAGCTTTGTTCTTAATGAATTCTTTGGTTATAAACAGGTCTTGAGTGACATTCACTCTGTGTACTATTTGGTTTTGCTGGTGTCTGTTCTGCATGTCCCTAAGGACTGGAATGAAATTAATTATCCTGGGTTATAGCTCATAGCACATACTTAATACAATTTACCTTGCTTTATTGTAAAATACAGAATGAAAATATATCTGTAGATCTGCAATTGCATATATTATTTACAAAGCTACTACTGAGCATGTTACATAAACTTTTCATCCTTTTAAAAGTAAAAAATCACACGTTCTTAACAAGAAGCAGAAATAAAGCTGAAATGCAAACTCTTTGTAAGTCTTCCTGTGACTCTTGACATGATGTTTGTCACTCACTGGCCCACGGATTCCTGAGTTACATAAAGCATAATGAAACATAATTAGCACATCTTGGTTATTCTGTAACAACTTGTTATCATTTTAGCAAAGCAAAAATTTCCAGAAGGAGGTGATACAAAATTGCTAAACCAAACAGTTCCTAAATACTCAAGAGAAACATGATGAAATAAGGAAATTTTGATCCTTATCAGTAAAGAAATAAAACTAATATTGATTCATTCACAGATTAGATGTGTAGGAGTATGTGAGAATAAAATAGGAGAATCCAGAAAAACTGGAACAGAAAAAAAATAAGACTACATAAAAAGTTATAAAATAACTTGGCCTGTGGTGACAGAAGAAAAAATATACATCTGCAGTGCAACTGATTCACTTTTAGATTGGTTGTTACATGTTCTCTGGTGGAAAAAGGATACCATTTATTTACTGTGTAGCTAGTATATTCTCTTATAATATCCAAGCACATAGTGAATGACTAGGTCTTTTATGAAACTAAAAAAACGAGATGGATTAACAGGCTGTGCATATTGAATTTTACATTTTATTTAGAAGGTAAGCATTTGGAAGCAACTTACATTTTTTCTGTGCCTAGGGCCACTATTTTCTATACCATTGCTATCGTCCAATTTCCTGTATAGAAAACAAAAAAGAAAATTACTATATGTTACACTACATCAGACTAAGTCAGTACACCATCAATAGCATGGCCATCAAGTTAAAATATGAGGTCAATACAGATAGGATTTATTCTTGCTAAAAATGGTGTTTAACTCATAATGTTGATTTTATTTGCACGCCCTTGGAGAGGAACCATTGCCACAAATGAGTGACAAAGGCCTGTTTATTTTATGCAGAGAGAATTGCTTTTCCCCAAGCGTGAGTGAAGGCTTCAGTATATGGCCTAACATATGTTGCTTTGACCCATCAAGATAATAGCCACTCTGGAGGTCAGCCAGTATGTAGATAAAGGTGCTATAATCCAACATGTTTATACACTGAATTAGAGGTTAAGCATGGCTCTTTGTCTCCTCAAAGTGCATCAGAATAAGACCACAATGTGGGCTCCAGATTCTTAAGAAAGACTAAACCAGGTTACAAGGGTACATAATTAATACCCTTCTAGAGCTTATGGGCAGGCTTGAGCGTATTAAACTAGTCTCACCAGATAATGAATTCAACCGTATAATCAGTTACATCAAAATTGGGAGGAGGAGTTGTAGGTAAAATTGTGTGGATTAAATATCTTGGTGGATCAATTAATTAGCTCTTAGATAAATTAGATAAATTAATGAGCTTTTCACTGAACTGTTTAAATGAGTAGCTTATTATACTCTTAGTACTATTTTTAAAAGTCATCTTAAAAGTCTTTCATTCTGTGAATGGCTAGTATCTAAACACACATATAAGCATCAAATATAAAATATATTGATAAACAATAGTCTCTTTATTTTTTTTTTATTTTTTTTTGGTTACAACTTTCCCAGAATGTATTCAGGTGGTCATGTACAACCAACAAATTTCAGTATTATATGGCTAAATGCTAACAAAGCATGTAAACAAATAATTATGATACTCATCCTTCAAAACTCTGCCAAAATGTCTTCATCTCTAGAAGCCCTCCTGAGATATATTAAGTACTTATGTGTTGTGTTATCATGGCAAACCATGCACAATGCTTTGTTAACAATATTCTCTTTAAAGACAAATTTATCTCCTAAACTAAAAATTCTAAAAAAAAGCATTGGTGAAAGGCTGCTCTAAATGAGTCCAAGTGCCCTTCATACTTGTATTAAATCTAAAGATACTAACAAAACCTAAAGATGAGAAATGTGACTGCAAGGAAATGGAGGGGAACACTGGGGAGGCTGAGCTGGGAGAACAAAAGAATCCAGGCAAGGGAATAATTGTTTCAAATATCTGAGTAGCTGTCATGTTGTTCATGATTCCAAGTGTAAGAAAGTTAATCAGTACATGCAAATCAGAAAGATAACATGTTCAAATTAATACGAACAAGTTCTCTAGAAAGAGGTTCACATCCTTTTCAATCGTAAGAGTCTGATTCTAAAACTAACAGTTTTTGTTGTTTTTTTTCCCCTTATCTGGGGTTATGGAACTCTTGATATAATTATTGTATGCCCTGACTTTAGAAGCTCGTGTCCTGTTGATTTGAGTGAAGTGAGTAAAAATAACTATTTGAATAATGTCTATGAATATACGCATGACAACTATCCACCCTAGTCTTGCTATTTAACTGTGGTTATAGCGCTCACACCTCAAAGCTCGTCTTGACTGATGAAGATAGACTGCAAGTGTCCATTTGGGCTGGTAATAGTTGCGCAGGCTTCCCTTTTCCTAGGTTTCTTTTGGCTGCTTTACTCTGGTCTCATTTTCCAGACCCTGGCTCTAATACTTGAACTTCAAACCCAGTTTCGGGCAACTCTCTCAGCCCAGTGGAGCTGGGCGCCACTCTCAGTTCCCTGGCATGGTGGAACCAACAACGCCCACTGTCACCAAACCAAATGACGTCACTGGTAATTTTCTTTCTAGTTCTCCTGCTCAGCTCAACTCTAAACAAAGGGGACTGTAAAAGAAATAGTGACACAATTTGTGTTCTCAGAAAAATAATAACAAATAGAATCTTAGGTCAGTGATTTTCAACATGAGAATCAAAATCAGTGATGGAGACTTTAAAGAAATATAGATGCTCAGACATAGAAGGCATTCCATAACCAAAGCTTACGCTAAGCACTTTTACACAGAGAAAGCCATTTAATCCCGAAACCTTATGTGGTAATGTCATTAAACCCATTTTGTTGAAGAGAAAACGGAAATACAGCAAGGTGTTGCAGACAGGTAAATGCCACTCTTCACCACAAATGGACATGTGCAGAAAATAACACACAATATACTCTTGTACCTTTTTTTCCTCTAACTGCAAACATTTTATTTAATTTCATATTTATCTGTATTTTATTCAAGGGAAAATTATTCTATAAAAAATAATACTTACATCTGTTCACCTTGTTCAAATTCTTTCCCATCATCTGTATAACAAAAGAAGAACTTAACTGTAAGGCTGGTTTATTATTCTTGTGGCACATATATGCTCAATTCTACTTTCCCCTGGATTCTCTATCCCTGACTGCCCATGCTGTTCTCCTGCTCTGCAGTGCGAGGCGACAGCGGCACGTCTGCCATGTCCACTCCTCCCCTGCTGTCCTGACTTGCAGCTTTGATCAAGCAAAACACTGGCTTCCCTGATGGCTCCGTGCATAAGGAATCCACCTGCAATGCAGGAGACATGGAAGACACGGGTTCAATCCCTGGATGGAGAAGATCCCCTGGAGAAGGATGTGGCAATCTGCTCCAGCGTTCTTGCCTGGAGAACCCCATCGACAGAGGAACCTGGCTGGTTACAGTCCACCAAACACAAGGTGCATGCTGAGGTATAACTGACAAAAAATTGATCAAGCCTAGTCTAGTGCCTGGGATCATCAAAAACAGGACTGACTGACTTGTAATTATTAAAGTTACTAAACAGCACAAAATAGGAAAAAATACAGAATGCAAGATAAATTTTCCTGGGGGCCAAGGGTTTCTCAGTCTGTAATCCATCAGAAACAGGCTGTGAAAACAGGTCTGGCAGGCAACGTCTCTTTCGTGAGAATTCAGAAATGTTGGATAAAACATTTTTAAAAACGAGTTATCTAAGTGAAAGAATAACTGCTTATCTTTGAGATCTTTTCTATTAAGTTATCACAGAATTTTCTAATATTCTAGTACCAAAGCATGTTATCACTTAAGAGGCGTGTTGGTACCAGTAACACCAAAGAAAGGGGGATAAAAGGCATATTTTAACACTAAAGCTTTTTAGGAAGTTAAAAAAAGAAGTCCATCAATATAAGCTCCTAGCTCGCAGTCATCACTGATATTAACATAAATACCACTACAAATAACAAAAGTTAGGTTTTTTTTCCCCAAAAAACTCTAAAGCCACTGTAATGTAGTAAGTCATAACATGAGAATGTTATCTAAAAAAACAAATCTTACCTGAGGGCTTCTTTTTCTTTTGAGTATACATTTCAAAAAGCAGAATAACAGTCACTAAGAGAACGACCTCAGCAACTATTGCACAAAATGCTTTAAGGGGTACCAAATAGCTGAGCACGACAAGTTCAACGTGTCCTCCACTCTCCCCTAACTCGAATATTGCATGGCACCAGTAAGTTCCCTGGTCGTCCTCTGAAAGTTGCGTTATCTTCAGCCTTGTTTCATTAGCATGTTTTCCACTGATCACATACTTATCATTCACTGGAACACCAAGAGGAACCTAATATAAGGAGACATTAAAATCCATTCCTGTCATAGTGCATAAAAAATGTATGTCCTGAATGATCTAGCTTTGAGTGAAAGCTACAATACAGTACCAAGAAAACAGCTTAGTAGCAAAAGGGCATATTGAAATTTGTGAGAAGTTATACATAACAGCCTTGTCTAACTCAATGAAACTATCAGCCATGCTGTGTAGGGCCACCCAAGATGGACAGGTCATGGGGGAGAGTTCTGACAAAACGTGGTCCACTGGAGATGGGAATGGCACACCACTCCAGTATTCTTGCCCTGAGAACCCCATGAACAGTATGAAAAGGCAAGAAGATAGGACACTGAAAGATGAACTCCCCAGGTCGGGAGGTGCCAAATATGCTACTGGAGATCAGTGGAGAAAAAACTCCAGAAAGAATGAAGGGATGAAGCCAAACCAAAAACAACACCCAGTTGTGGATATGACTGGTAATGGAAGTAAAGTCCAAAGCTGAAAAGAGCAATATTGCACAGGAAACTGGAATGTTAGGTACATGAATCAAGGCAAATTGGAAGTGGCCAAACAGGAGATGGCAAGAGTGAGCATCGACATTTTAGGAATCAGTGAACTAAAATGGACTAGAATGGGTGAATTTAACTCAGAAGACCACTATATCTACTACTGTGGGCAAGAATCCCTTAGAAGAAATGGAGTAGCCATCACAGTCAACAAAAGAGTCTGGAATGCAGTACTTGGATGCAGTCACAAAAATGACAGAATGATCTCTGTTCATTTCCAAGGCAAACCATTCACTATCACGGTAATCCAAGTCTATGCCCGGAGCAGTAATGCTGAAGAAGCTGAATTTGAATGATTCTATGAAGACCTACAAAACCTTCTAAAACTAACACCCCAAAAACAGGTCCATTTCATTATAGGTGACTGGAATGCAACAGTAGGAAGTCAAGAACTACCTGAAGTAACAGGCAAATTTGGCCTTGGAGTACAAAATGAAGCGGGTCAAAGGTTAACAGAGTTTTGCCAAAGAACGCACTGTCATAGCAAACACCCTCTTCCAACAACACAAAAGACGACTCTATACATGGACATCACCAGATGGTCAATACTGAAATCAGATCGACTATATTCTTTGCAGCCAAAGATGGAGAAGCTCTACACAGTCAGCAAAAACAAGACTGGGAGCTGACAGTGGCTCAGATCATGAACTCCTTATTGCCAAATTCAGACTTAAATTGAAGAAAGTAGGGAAAACCACTAAACCATTCAGGTATGACCTGAATCAAATCCCTTACAATTATACAGTGGAAGTGACAAATAGATTTAAGGGATTAGACAGACAGAGTGCCTGAGGAACTATGGATGGACGTTCATGATACTGTACAGGAGCCCACTGGTCAAGACCATCCCCAAGAAAAAGAAAAGCAAAAAGGCAAAATGGTTGTCTAAGGAGGCCTTAAAAATAACTGTAAAAAGAAGAGAATCTAAAAGCAAAGGAGAAAAGGAAAGATATACCCATTTGAATGCAGAGTTCTTAACAGAAAGGAGAGATAAGAAAGCCTTCCTAAGTAATCAGTGCAAAGAAACAGAGGAAAACAACAGAATGAGAAAGACTAGAGATCTCTTCAAGAAAACAAGAGATGCCAAGAGAACATTTCATGCAAAGATGGGCTCAATAAAGGACAGAAATAGTATGGACTTAACAGAAGCAGAAGACATTAAGAAGAGGTGGTAAGAATACACAGAAGAACTGTACAAAAAAGATCTTCATGACCCAGATAACCACAATGGTGTGATCACTCACCTAAAGCCAGAAATCCTGGAATGCAAAGTCAGGGGGCCTTAGGAAGCATCACTAGAACAAAGCTAGTGGAGGTGACAGAATTACAGTTGAGCTATTTCAAATCCTAAAAGATGATGCTGTTAAAAGTACTACACTCAATATGCCAGCAAATTTGGAAAACTCAGCAGTGGCCACAGGAGTGGAAAAGGTCAGTTTTCATTCCAATCCCAAAGAAAGGCAATACCAAAGAATGTTCAAACTACCACACAATTGCACTCATCTCACACACTAGTAAAGTAATGCTCAAAATTCTCCAAGCCAGGCTTCAACAATACATGAATCGTGAACTTATTGATGTTCAAGCTGGCTTTAGAAAAGGCAGAGGAACCAGAGATCAAATTACCAATATCCACTGGATCATAAAAAAAGCAAGAGAGTTCCAGAAAATCATCTACTTCTGCTTTATTGACTACACCAAAGCCTTTGACTGTGTGGATCACAATAAACTGTGAAAAATTCTTCAAGAGATGGGCGAATACCAGGCAACGTTACCTGCTCTTGAGAAATATGTATGCAGGTCAAGAAGCAACAGTTAGAACCAGACATGGAACAACAGACTGGTTCCAAATTGGGAAAGGAGTACGTCAAGGCTGGATATTGTTACCCTGCTTATTTAACTTATATGCAGAGTACATCATGAGAAATGCTGGACTTGATGAAGCACAAACTGGAATTAAGATTGCTGGGAGGAATATCTACAACCTCAGATATGCAGATGACACCACCCTTAGGGCAGAAAGTAAAGAACTAAAGAGCCTCTTGATGAAAGTGAAAGAGGAGAGTGAAAAAGTTGGCTTAAAACTCAACATTCAGAAAACTAAGATCATGGCATCCGGTCCCATCACTTCATGGCAAATAAATGGGGAAACAATGGAAACAGGGAGAGACCTTATTTTGGGGGTCTCCAAAATCACCTCCAATGCTGACTGCAGCCATGAAATTAAAAGACACTTGCTCCTTGGAAGAAAAGCTATGGATAACCTAGACAGCATACTAAAAAGCAGAGACATTACTTTGCCAACAATGGTCCATCTAGTCAAAGCTATGGTTTTTCCAGTAGTCGTGTATGGATGTGAGAGTTGGACTATAAAGAAAGCTGAGTGCAGGAGAATTGATACTTTCGAACTGTGGTGTTGGAGAAGACTCTTGAGAGCCTCTTGGAGAGCAAGGAGATCCAACCAGTCCATCCTAAAGGAGATCAGTCCTGGGTGTTCATTGGAAGGACTGATGCTTAAGCTGAAACTCCAATACTTTGGCCACCTGATGTGAAAAACTGACTCAACTGATAAGACCCTGACGCTGGGGAAAGATTAAAGGCAGAAGGAGAAGGGGACAACAGAGGATGAGATGGTTGAATGCCACCACTGATTCAATGGGCATGAGCTTGAGTAAGCTCTGGGAGTTGGTGATGGACAGGGGTGCCTGGGGTGCTGTAGTCCATAGGGTCGCAAAGAATCAGACACGACTGAGCAGCTCTACTGAACTGAACTGCTACATAACATAGCTCAATTCTTATCAGAGTTTGACCTTTCAGAGGTAGAAAACAAAGGAAAAGGATACTTTTCTTTAAGTGCTTAGCACTGAGTGTTTAAAAGGACAGCATGCAAGTCATCATGGGTAAATATTCTATTTAAGTAGACATACAGGAAAATTCCAGTCTTCCAGGCTTCATGTTAGAATCCCTGACTAGTTGTTCAAAGTACTTCCTCCTTCACAAGTGCAGGTATACATTCATTAAATCAACTATTAAGTTAATAAAGCTATTAAATTGATCATTCCTATTAAGGAAGCTTCCTGGTTATTGACACTGGGAGTCCCTCAGACTGGAAAGGAAATCTTCAGGCCTTTGAAGCTGATGTAGAAGGACTAGTAGACCTTCCTGTGAGTCTGGTAAACAAGGTGGTTTGTACACTTTCTGTCTTTTCAAAGCTCAATTTCTCTGTTTTTCAGTCAATTCGGTTTCTGGAATTCACTGGGTTTTCTTCAGTCTTTTAAGATCCATACCAAGCTATTGGGGGGCTGATTTATTTAATCTATTTAAATTAACTTTTATTCTTAGGCCATTTGCTGCCTTCACTGCTCTATCATTCAACTGCAGTGATCAATAAATTTTAATCTGAATGCAAGTATTCTTGGAGATTATGTGATGAAGAACTGTGATTTTAATATTGGCCAAAAATTATATCAACCTGGCTCTCTGTGCACAGCATTGCCTGTGATCTTTTTACAAAGGTACTCCCTACCTCAGGGCTGATAAATCAAAGCATTGCATGTTTAGTAGGAACCACAGGTTGAGTCTGATGCAGATGGTTCATGCACATTTTAAAAACACTTGACCTAAAGTTTTGACTTGTACTCTCTTCGCTGCACTTTTCTTATATCCTAATATGATCCATGCTTGGGGCTAAATTGAGAGACACTTAGTAAGATGGAAAGAAGCACAGACTGTATTGTGAAAGTTCAATATAATTAGATTTGTCTATTTTTTTGTCTAGTATGACATATGCAGGCTTCCCTGGTAGCTTAGCTGGTAAAGAATCTACCTGCAATGCAGGAGATCCCGGTTCAATTCCTAGGTCCAGAAGTTCCCCTGGAGAAGGGATAGGCTACCCACTCCAGTATTCTTGGGCTTCCCTGGTGTTCAGACAGTAAAGAATATGCCTGCAATGCAGGAGACCTGGATTCAGTCCCTGGGTTGGGAAGATCCCTTGGAGGAGGTCATGGCAACCTACTCTAGTATTTTTGCCTGGAGAATCCCCATAGACAGAGGAATCTGGCAGGCTACAGTCCATGAGGTTGCAGAGAGTCAGACAGGACTGAGCACTTAGCAGCAGCATGTTTTTCTTAATATCAGGTCTTTGAAAAGTCATTCATTTTTTAGTAGGAATTTAAAGTATCTGGCTTCCCTTAGGTCCCTGGAGGCCTAAAAGAGGTCAATGACTCTAAAAGAACCCAAAACCTAAGTTTAAGTGACCTAATTTTCATTCTTTCCTTAAATAGTGCCACTATATTGCATTCTATCACAGATGTTTCCAGAGACAGAAGAAGGAAAAGATAACATCTTTTTTTTTTCAAGTTACTTTCATGAAATGATAAGGAAAAAAAGAATCATTTCTGTTGGGGTTATACTTAAGCATCAACTAAAAATGAATTGTAACTTTCAGTGAATTAAAATAAATTGCTAAATGTAAAAACAAAGTACCAGCTAATGAAACATTGGGAGTATCTTCAGATGTATAATGTAAAGTGCTATAAACATGAAACAACTCCATTCATCACTGCTCCTTCTCCATGATCATGTATTTAAGAAGAAGAAAAGAGAAGTAGAGATAGTCCTAAGAACTTTGAGTATAATACAATCTTATTCCTTATCAAATAAGTGTGTTTATTTTGTAAGCCAAAGAAATATTATCTTACCTGTACACTCCCATTGGCACCGTACCAGGTCCAATTTAAAGGAAGACAATCTTGACATTTACACATCAAGACAACTGAATCCCCCACGTAAGTGATCAATGGTTTGTTTTTTCCATTAATTTCAGGAACTAAGGAAAATGTAGAAATATACATATTACTAAAAAAGTCTGAATGGGGGGATGTATTCAAGTTGAATAGAATTTATCCTTTCATTTTTTCATTTATATATGATTTTCTTTCTGTAGTTTTAGTTCTATATAAAATGAATCAATGTACAGTAGTTAGGACAGACCATTGTAGTAGGTAGGTAGTGCAATGTAATTGTCAGTAGTATAGAAACAGAAGAAAGGTCTTCTATTATGAGCCTAATAACAGTTATAAATATTGTAATAAACTGTTACATAGTTTGGATACGAAAGAAACTTCATGTTTTTCAAGTCTATTTTTTCATCCCACCTAGTAAATTACTTTAGAACAAATATTTCTCTTAAAGTTTACCCTTAGATGGCACTTAAGTAAGGAGATAAAATTTTTAGGATTTAAAATTCTTAGTTCATACAAATTTATGAAAAGGGTTGGAGAAGGTGAGAAGACGAGAAATAAACAACGGAAATTTAATAGAGAAAAGAAAGAAAGAAAATGAGATGAAAAATTCTTACATGTGGTTTTGTTAAAAAAGAAACAAAAACCAAACACCTAATAGTCACTGTGATCATCATATTTCATAAAGTTAGAAGCAGATGCCATTAGTAACAGACTAAAACTGAGTACTGAATTTAGAAAAATTAAGTTTTAAGGCTATGAATAACTTGGTATGTGTGTACTAAGTCACTTCAGTCATGTCCAACTCTTTACAACCCTGTGAACTCTAGCCCCCCAGGCTCCTCTGTCCATGGGATTCTCCAGGCAATACTGGAGTTGGTTGCCATTTCCTTCTCCAGAATAATTTGGTAAGAAAATTAAAACAGAACAACATAAGCAAAGCAATAAAGGTCAACCAGTAGCCTCCATGATGAAATCAATTCCTTCCGATGGACCTCAAGGGATGTATTAGAGAATGTACACTTATACTGGAGATACTTATCAACAAAGATGACTTTTGTTGATATGTCTTCTTTTACTAATTTTAGCAGGTTTTGTGTTTTGTTTTTCCTTTTTGTTGGTTTGCTAGCAGAAAGTGTTTGAAATTATGTGTACATTTTAATAATATTATGTTGACAAATTTTATAGACATTGTTTGCTATTCATTTGTTATCCTATTTTTAGATTTTATTTTGGGGAAGGTCAGGGTGGAAAATGGAAAGATCAATTTTAGTTGCTAAATTAGGTTTCCAGAATAAATACATTTTGTAAATGCTCTTGGCTTTCTACTACCCAAAGATAACTGAGCATTTTATGGATATGTAAATTATAAAGATGAGGAAGGGGAAAATAATCATAACTAGAAAATAAATTCTGACTTCTATATCCACTTGTTTAGGCTTCCCTGGTGGCTCAGATGGTAAAGAATCTGCCTGCAATACAGGAGACCAGGGTTTGATCCCTGAATCGGGACGATCCCCTGGAGAAGAGAATGACAACCCACTCCAGTATTCTTGCCTAGAGATTTCCATGGACAGAGAAGCCTAGCGGTCTACAGTCTATGGGGCTGCAAAGCGTCAGACACAACTGAGCAACTAAAACACACACACATACACACACACACACACACACCCCTCCACATAACCACATGTATAGGGGATAAAAATAGGGTTGGATTTCTTCACAGTTTGTCTTTAGGTGATTAATGTTATAGTGATGAATGTGGGAAGTCTTCCATTTTCCTTATGGTTTCACATGGGGCTAAATACAATTGCACACATCACCCTCTCCTTCATAAGTAAATCTTCCCAGCATAGTGTTAAATGAGGTACTGCTAGAAATAAAGAGATGCAAATGAGAAAGATATATCACCAGTGCAAATGTTCCAGAAATCTTAAGATGACAGAGCAATCTATAAGTCAATGATTACTATACCTATTATAACCAAGGAAACCTGTTTTGACAAGATGGAATGATGTACAATTTTACATTAACCAAATGTGTGAACTGCCAATCATAATTTATAATCACCCCTACTAACAGTTTATGAGCACTTAGTAAGGTACCACTAGGGTGCTCCTGAGGAAGGAGAGATGTGAAACACGTGTGACTGTTGTGACTGAGGTCATCCCAGTCACAAGAAACTGGTGAGCTGACCTTGCCAGAGAATATTCCGAGCACTCCTCCTGAGAGGCTACTAGTGTCCCATAGTCCCTTTTGGTCACCATGAGGCTAAAGGACTTTCAGGGAAATGTGGTCATTATTTGTCCATTTCAAAGACCAGATCACGAATGAGTCAGCACAATGTGACAGTGACGTGACAAACATAAGATTTAGGAAACATCTGAGTTAGAATTATAGTTTCAGTGTTACTAGTGTTGAGGACACAGGTAGAGTATACCCTCCCCTACAGTGTTACTGTAACACAGAAACACAATATATAATGTTGCTTAGTGCAGAGCAGTTGTGGTGGTTTAGTTGCTAAGTCGTATCCAACTCTTTTGCGACTCCATGGACTGTAGCCCACCAGGCTCCTCTGTCCATGGGATTCTCTAGGCAGCAATACTGGAGTGGGTTGTCATTTCCTTTTCCAAGGGATCTTCCTGACCCAGGATCAAATCCACGTCTCCTGCACTGGCAGGCGGATTCTTTACCGCTGAGCCACCAGGAAAGCCCTTGGTGTAGAGTGAACACCACAAAATTCAAACTTTTGTTGTGTCCATGTACGGGTACTACTCTTCTTAATAGAGCTTTCTCATAATTTATAATGCCCATGGCCTTCCTACATTAGCCAGCTTAATGGCGTGGATTATTGGCATGTGCAGGGAAGATTTCTAGGCTATGTGGAAGACAGAAGAAATAAAACATAGAATGAAAGAACTGGAAATTCATCTGAATTCATTTCAGAACTTTAAGAATGTATACAAACACCCCTGAATGAGGAAAAGCATCCGAACTGAGTCCTTTACAGAACACCCAGCTCATCTGAGAAAGGTGATTAAAAGGGATTAAAATGATGGAAAATAAAAAATGAATTCACAGGGGACAAGGCCCAGAAGAATGAAAAAACAGTAGCTTTGAGATGCTGGTGGTGGTACCAATTCATCCTTTAATAATATATATATTTAAAAACTTTGCTGTGAAGCTGTAAAACAAATTCTACTGCTTGAAAAACTCATTCAAGTCCTTGGCTAATGCAGATGAATAAGAGTTTGCCTGCATAAGAATTACAATTTAAGTATAAATTAGAACAATTTAAATCAGGGGACCTAATTACCTCTCCTTACCATAAAAAGAAATGAAATTGGTAAAAAGTTAAAAAGAAATTATTGTTTCCAGACCTATGTAGTATATGGAGCAGAAAGAATAAATTGAATAATAACTTTACATATTATTATAAAACCTAAGAATATAAAGGAAATGGCCCATTCAACACCTACTGAATTTAGTAAGGCAGAATAAAGCAAGTAATACTTTGATACACCATGAGCTAAATTTTTAAATACTATACACGTGTCTTTTTATAATAAAAGTTAAAGAGGGTATCTCTCATGTAAGTGTTCTTACTAGATCAAGTTATTTTTGTTATCCAGTTCAATTTCTTCAGTCTGTGGCTACCCCTTCAGGGCCATTTGTAGATCCAGACAGCACTCTTAATAGAAGAACCCATATAAGAAAACCGGAAGCAAAGCTAGCACCCAAGAGAAGACTGACTATACATACTGACATGAACATAAGAACTGTATTTTAAGTTCCTGAAAAATAAGACAATAACTTTGAACGTCACAATGTTAAAAGGTTTAATTTAGATTGAACCACAGAACATCACATTTTGTTTCATTTTTCTTATGGTAGAGCCAGTTTCCTCACGCGGCACTGGAGAAGAAGACAACAGAAGTCTGGGCAGGGGCTGGACTGAATTCCCCGGTGACCTCAGTATTAAATTCCCTACTCTCATTCAGCCCTCCAGTTTTTCAGTCCTGGGCAGGGGGGATGGGGCGGGCGGTGAGTCCTGGATGGGTCATATTCCAGGGCACAGATTGGGCCTTGTATTCTAGGGCTAGGAATCTGGAGGTATAAATAACTCATTCTCATACTCAGCATGGTTTTCTTCTGGTTTGGGAGGGGCTCTCCTCCTATCTGGGGAAATAAGTACCAAATTGAGCTTGGACTGTGAAAGAATAGGTGACTCTGCTTTGGTTTAAGGTTAGTAAGATCTAACTGAGAAAAAAGAAGCCACCCAAGGATTTCAGCAAGGTTTGCAGCCAAGTCTGGCCGATAATGAGATGTTATTTTCTTTGGTGTCTCTCTTCTGTGTGTGTTTCCGTATTTGAGATTTTGTTGTGAAGAGGAATGACTGTACCAGGTAAGAATGGAGTTATTCTTGGATCTCCTGACAAAACACCATCAGCTCAGTAGCACTTTCTAATCAGACTCCATCCCAATATTCCCAAGCACTGATGTGGTTTTACTACTAAATGGAGTATGAGAACACAGAAGCACTTTGAGGGATAAAGTCCTACCAGGAAAGATCAACTCTACTTTTGGAGAGGCCTCAATTAAAAGACTGGCTTCCCTGGTGGCTGAGGGTAAAAGAATCTGCCTGCCAATGCAGGAGACATGGGTTCAATCCCTAGGTCAGGAAGATTCCTTGGAGAAGAAAATGGCAACCCACTCCAGTATTGTTGCCTGGAAAATCCCATGGAGAGGAACCTGGCAGGCTACAGTCCATGGAATTGCAAAGAATCAGACATGACTGAGTGAGTAAGCAACGAAAGACCTGCAGATTAAGCAGTTGTGAGCTTGGCTAAATAGGGATTCTTTTCTGAAGCCACAAGATTCCTTACAAACCTCAGATGGAACAGAGCCACCCTTCTTGAATTCCACATGGAGAGGTACAACATGTACATATTTGGCACTGCTTTTTCATAGTGTAGCTCTGATACAGTTATTTCTAGAGCCAGGCTAGGCTCACATTAAAACAAGCACTGCTTTGAAGACAGACTGTGAAACTGGTTTTGTTAAGCACCAGTTAAGGGCACAGTTT